GTTCTCTGTACATTTTCTAGGTCGGCAATTGCACCTGCCTTGAAAGGTGCTGTTAGTGTGCAGCAATATTCCAGCCTAGATAGAATAAGTGACCTGAAGAGTGTCATCATGGGCTTGGCCTCCCTAGTTTTGAAGGTTCTCATTATCCATCCTGTCATTTTTCTAGCAGATGCGATTGATACAATGTTATGGTCCTTGAAGGTGAGATCCTCCGACATGATCACTCCCAGGTCTTTGACATTGGTGTTTCGCTCTATTTTGTGGCCAGAATTTGTTTTGTACTCTGATGAAGATTTAATTTCCTCATGTTTACCATATCTGAGTAATTGAAATTTCTCATCATTGAACTTCATATTGTTTTCTGCAGCCCACTGAAAGATTTGGTTGATGTCCGCCTGGAGCTTTGCAGTGTCTGCAATGGAAGACACTGTCATGCAGATTCGGGTGTCATCTGCAAAGGAAGACACGGTGCTGTGGCTGACATCCTTGTCTATGTCGGATATGAGGATGAGGAACAAGATGGGAGCTAGTACTGTGCCTTGTGGAACAGAGCTTTTCACCGTAGCTGCCTCGGACTTTACTCTGTTGACGACTACTCTCTGTGTTCTGTTAGTGAGGAAATTATAGATACATCGACCGACTTTTCCTGTTATTCCTTTAGCACGCATTTTGTGCGCTATTACGCCATGGTCACACTTGTCGAAGGCTTTTGCAAAGTCTGTATATATTACATCTGCATTCTTTTTGTCTTCTAGTGCATTTAGGACCTTGTCGTAGTGATCCAATAGTTGAGACAGACAGGAGCGACCTGTTCTAAACCCATGTTGCCCTGGGTTGTGTAACTGATGGGTTTCTAGATGGGTGGTGATCTTGCTTCTTATGACCCTTTCAAAGATTTTTATGATATGGGATGTTAGTGCTATTGGTCTGTAGTTCTTTGCTGTTGCTTTACTGCCCCCTTTGTGGAGTGGGGCTATGTCTGTTGTTTTTAGTAACTGTGGGACGACCCCCGTGTCCATGCTCCCTCTCCATTAAATTTATTAAAGCCACACAGCATGATCTAATAGAATATTCAATTCTCTTGTATTCAATGCAAACTCCTAAATTTACACTTTGCTGTTATTGCCTTATTAATCTTAAGTTAGCCTTAAGTTTGTCCAAAATGTTATGCATATAAAGGGGCTTTTGGCATGTACAACCAAACATCTTTCTCCGTTGTACAAACATTATTATACTCCAACATTAACCTTCCTCTCAAACTCCCCTTTGATAACTACAACAGAATACACAGGCATAAATCACTCTTCGATATCCCTCGTGTCCATCTCTCCCTCTGCAAAAATGTTAATGCCATGAGTTCATTGAGAGAATACAATAAATGTCCAGGGCCCGAGACTGCTCAACTACCTCCCAGCATACATAAGGGGGATTACCAATAAACCCCTGGCTGTCTTCAAGAAGGCGCTGGACAGGCACATAAAGTCAGTACGAGACCAACCGGGCTGTGGTTTGTACATCAGTTTGCGTGCAGCCAACAGTAACAGCCTGGTTAATCAAACCCTGATCCACCATGAGGCCTGGTCTCAGACCGAGCTGCTTGGGCGTTGACGCCTAAAACCCTCTCCAGGTAAACATAAAGACATGACAGTGGCTTTCTTTGTACTTAGCAAATCAAAATTGTAATTACACATTGTAAACTACGCAAAGAAATTATTATTATTATTATTATTATTATTAATTATTATTATTATTCCTTAAAAGTGCCAGAAGATCTGGAATTCATTGCCAGAACACATTAAAGGGCCCCTGCTGCCTGCATATCAATTTAAGGCGCTACTTAAAAATCACCTCATCACCCAAAATTAACCAGACAAATACTATACTTAACACCTACCAATTACTCAAAAAACTTGTAAATAATTTATGACTGCTCAACTATTTAGTCATTTCTTCAAACTTAAAATTGTTTCATTTTCATTGTTTTAAATTGTTCTCAACTGTAATAATATTTTTTATATACTGTATCAAAACTAATTATTCTCTACCTAATTTATCAAAGCCATATAGTGCAAACTAACAGAATGTTCAGTTTTCTTGTATACTCATTGTAACTCACCTCATGACCATATGCACAAATTACAGTACTGTTATTGCCTAATTAATCTGAAGTCAGTCCTAATTATTATAATCAAAAAGAAGCGCTAATCCTACATGGGTCATACAGCGCAGCAGGGCAGGGAAGGGTGCAGGGTTATTGGGTAGCAAGAGAGAGAGGGATTATTATTAGGTCATGGAGTGTAGTAAATCAGTTGCTGTCAAAAAGTCAATGAGAGAGTCTGGGTTAAAGGAGGGAAGGTAAAGTAAAGGCATTAGAAGGGAGGGTAAAGTAAAGGCAGTAGAGAAGTGACGATGTTGGGGGTAAATTCTGCATGCTCGCTGATAGTGGACAGTCCAACAGAATGTGGCTAATAGAAACTGCAACCTGACAATTCTCACAGAGTGCAACAGGGCGCCTCTCTATGAGATACCCGTAATATGAGTGTGCCGATGCAAAGACCGGAGAGTGTAGTCTCCCAACCTCGACATTGATGACAAGACAGCCAGAAACTTATACTCAGTTGAATAGAATGTAGTTTGCTATGGAGCAGATCAGACCAACGTTGTTGCCAACAGGTGTGAAGGTGGGTAGCAATTACAGGAAAATAGTCTGTGAATGGAACACCTCTATGTGAAACTGGGAGGTCATGTACTGCTGACTGCACAGCAGTGTGTCTGCTCATTGCCCTGTACGTCAACATGACCGGGACCCAACCAAAAGAATATCTTTGTGCTTGCTAGAGATATGGCGAAACCAAAGTTGGATACAAAGAACCAAGGGATGAGGTGTATCAAATTTTCGTGTAGCCTGTAAAGTACTAAGGGAGTCTGAAATGACCACAAATGGTGACACAGGCATAGATGCAATATGGGTAAGTGCCACAAGAATGGCATACAATTCAGCCATAAAAATGGTAGCCGAGGATAACAAATGCCCTTGCACAATGCTGTCCAGAAACACTGCTGCAAATCCGATGCCACGAGAAGACTTAGAACCATTGGTGTACACTGCGATGGCATGAGAATGAGATCAGAAGTGGTTAAGAAAAAGAGAGTGAGAAACCACTGTAGGCAGTTGGGCTTTCGCACATGGCAGTGGGAAAGAACAGACATGAACCCTCAGAACTTCCCAAGGGGGCAGGGAAAAGTGAGATGTTACATGAACGTAGAAAGGTGGTAACTGAAAAGAAGACAAGAGTAAATGTAGGCGAAGAAAAAAAAAGGATGGAGTAAACAGGGGCAACAAACAAATAAAGAACGTCTACTAATACCAGTGACTATCCTATTTATGGAAGGATTGCAGAGGTCATGAGAGCGAACATAATCGCGAAGGCAATGAGCATCACGGCAATCGGACAAGGATGGAATATTTGCCTCTACATAGAGGCTCTCAACAGGTGAAGAACAAAAAGCAATGAGGCGTAAACGTAATCCCTGGTGATGGATGGTATCAAGGCTAGAAGAAGTTGCAGGAGAGGCTGCTGAATATATATGGTTGCCATAATCTACTTTTGATAAAATTAGGGCAGAATGCAATCTAAGGAGAGTTCTACAGTCAGCCCCCTATGAAAGATGAGCGAGGATTTTAAGGAGGTTCAGCTGGCCATGACAAAGTTGCCTTCAAGGAGGTAATATGAGGTTTCCAGGATAACCAACGGTCAAACAGAAGGCTGAGAAACCTGACAGTATCACATTCTGGGATACACGAACCATATAGGTACAATGGATTATCAGGGACGATAAAACGTCTAGTGAAAGTAATTTGGTGTGTTTTAGTAGTAGAAAATTTAAACCCATGGGTGGTGGCCCAATTGGAAACACGGTTGATTGCAAGCTGGAGAGAAACTGCAATGAGGCGACAGTCAGCGCCAGCACAAGCTATAGCAAAGTCATCAACATAAAGTGATGACAGTGATGACCAGATATTGGATGGAAGAATAAATACCAGATCATTTATAGCACCTTCATGAACATGAACATGGAAATGGGTCTCAGATAAGAAGTTCTTAAGGAAAAATGGTAGATTGCCTCAGAGGCCTAAGGAGTGAGCTTGGGTCAAGATGTTATATTTCTGAGTTGTGTCATATGCCTTCTCAAGATCAAAAAAGATGGCAATAACCGAGTGATTATTGATAAAGAAATTGCATACATATGTATCTAAACAGAATAAGGGGGGTCAACTGTAGAACGGCCCTTATGAAAGCCATATTGACTAGTGGAGAGACTACTGCATGTCTCTAAATACCATACCAAACGTCTATTTACCAGACGTTTCAACACTTCGCAAACCACACTGGTAAGAGCAATGGGATGATAGCAGGAGGCATCAAGTCCTGAAGTACCTGGTTTATGAAAAGGTAGTACAAGGTTAGATTTCCACAGCTGGGGCAGAACTCCTCACGACCAAATAAGATTAAAGAGACGTAAGAGGACCGCAAGGGCTGATGGATGCAAATACTGGAGCATACAAATATGAATGCTGTCCAGCCCAGTTGCCAATGATTGGCAAGTGGAGAGTGTCGAGAGAGTCAACTCGAATTCTAGAAGCATAAAAGGCACATTGTAAGACTCTTCTCCACTAGAGGGAAAGTCTAAGGGCTCAAACTCTCTGGCAGATTTGGAGGAAAGAAAGGAAGGGCAGTGATGGAGCCCCTGGGAGATACAGAAAAGATGATGACCAACTTCAGTGGCAACGTCAAAACGGTTAACTAAGGTATACTACAACCCCACCCCCTGCATGCCACCCACACCAGTCAATTATCACCCAGGTAACTACTTACTGTTAGGTGAACTGGGTCATCAGGTGTAAGGAAACATGCCCAACATTCTCACCTGTGCCAGAGATCAAACTATGGACACTCAGTATATGAACCAAGCCACCAACCAGCTGGTGGTGCAGGTACCTGTGGTTCAGGGTAGTTATCAGTGTTCATCAGCACTCCAGACTGTATCATTAGTATTACTCTCGTTTTCCAGCAGTATAGTCATCAGACAACTTTTTGTTAAACTCCTTCAGGAGTTCAACATGCTGGAAATTCTCTCTCTCACCCAAGATTATTTCACTTATTATTAAATCTGGGTTTGTTTGTTCGGTGCCCAGTTCATTTATTTTCTCAATGTGTTTCATAAAATCTTCAGCCAGAATATTCCTCTTTTCTTGCAGATCTTTCAAAGTCTTTTCATTATCTGTAATTTGTTTCTTGAGCTGTGAACTTTCCTCCAGTACTAAAAAATAGGTGTCGATTTTGCTAGGGTCAATTTTTATTCTCCACACATATTCTGTGTCAACTACGTGGTCTTTCAGTTCATGACGACAGCCATTCTTATGACAAACCTCACGTGAATGAGCCAGACAGTTTTTTGTTGCTTTTCTTATCGCAAGTCCAGTGCTTAATCCAGAAATTAAACCTATGCCAGCACCAATGGATAAACCAATTATGGCTCCTACGGGACCACCCAAAGCACCCACCTCAGCCCCTCCCACTCCTCCAGCAATTCCTGCACTTGCAAGTCCTGCAACAGTTGCAGTGCCAACCCCAGCACCAGTTCCAGCAAATGCAGCAGCAATATTCTTTGGGTTTTCACACATTTCTCTACAAGTTTTCTGGCAGATATCACAGTTGTGGACATGATATCCTCTAGGTATTGTACACTTTACCCATGATACTTCCTCAAGATTATTTACCAGTTCTGTACTTTTCTTGAGATTTTTATTTAGATAGACAATTTTATTTTTCAGTACAACACTCATCTTTATATTGTTCATAAGAGTAGATTTTGTTTTTTCAAAAGATTGTTTTTCCTGTAGAAGTTCCCTTGTTCTCTTGAGGCTTATTTGATGCACATTTTGTAAGTCTTTAAAAAATCTGCCCTGCTCTTCTTGCATTTTTCTCCATCTATACTCAAGATATCCTTCCTGATGGACATTATCATCTTTTGAAATGTACAAAGGCCAGTTGTCGAATGCATACCAATTTTGAAATTGAACTTTGGCATTTTTAACCACATCAAGAACCAGAGGCAACCCATCTGAAGCATGTGTTGCCAGAAGCTGTGTTATAACACCAATATCACTTCCTAGAACAGAGGTGAACTCTTTTAGCATTTGCAACTGATGATTTGATATCCTGTTTTGATTTGACTTTGCTACTAAACCAACACAATCAAGGTAATCTATTCCATAATCAGTTGTGAGAAAATGAGTGAGTCTCTCTATAGTGGCTCTCTCATGGTTTTCTCTGGTGTCACCAAACCCAGGAGAATCTATCAACGCATAGTTACAGTCGAAAGGCACTCCCAGGTGACGTGATATTATATAAGCAGTGATATATTCTGTCTGACTGTCGATTTGCCGAAGATTATCACTTGAGACATAATCTTTCAACTGGAATCTAAAGTCATCTTCAAAGCGGACATGTAGTAGATAGTTGATCATGGTGTTGATGGCATGCGTTTTGCCAGCACCTGTCTCTCCTAACAGGAGCACTGCCTTGATGGGTACCTCATTCGCAGGTCCAATGCTCACCACTTGTATCTTGTTGTCTTTATCTCTGTAAACAACCTTGGTATTTATCTCATAGATTGTTAATTCTCCTATATTCCTCTTTACAGTACAATGGTTCCTTATAAAGTTCCTCCGGCGAGCATCCATCTTGATCCACTAAAGGGTGCAGTAATCTGTAAAACAATAAATCAGTTTTAATCAGATTTAAGTAGTTATTATTTATTAGGATTAGTTTGTACTTAGCAAACCAAAATTGTAATTACACACTGTAATCTTTACAATGAAATAAAATATTGATTTTTTATCTTTTAGTTAACCCTCTTTAATTTCTTAGCCTTGTAGTGCAGATATTTAATAATTAATGAGTGTTTCTTTTTTGGGTTACCTTACCTCAGTGGGAGACTGCCGACGTGTATTCAAGCCCATGCTGTTTCCAAATGTAATTATACATTTTACCCAAAATGCTGTAAATCTTATAGGCTTTCTTGTTACTGTTTATTTTATACAGGGTTTTTAACCTGTAGGAGGCCCCTTGTACTTCCATAGTTGTAACTTTCTTGTTTTTATCTAATGTCTGTAGTAAACAGTAACTTTGCGACTCTTGTGACTGAAACAACCTGTATATGTGCAATTTAAAATATCAATCTATCATCAAGCTAAAAAAAAAAAAAACCACTTACGGTCAGCAAAACTTGTACTAATTTCTTCATCTTAGAACCACAGCTATATAACTTTTTACAAGTTTAGTGCTTCCCCAAATATGTAAACCGTGGATAATATAACATCAGTTAAGAAAACTGCAGAGATCTGCTACACTTAAAGGCTTACTGATGCTATACCTGGAGAGGGTTTTGGGGGTCAATGCCCCCGTGGCCCAGTTTGTGACCATTCTCTGATAATTTACCCACACATGAATGACAAACTGCAGGTGTCCCAGGGATTCAAACTGGGGTCTGTCAGGTGACAAGTGAATGATAAGGATGCCGACAAATGAAACAGAATAACCTCATGTCACATGTTTTTCATAAAAACACTTAATAATAAACTAATAATAAATGGTAACAAAACTAATACTACTAACAACATTGCTAGAATACTGTTAACCCTTAAACTGTCCAAACATAGATCCACGTTCACGTGCATAGCGCTCCGACCTTCATTTTCCCCATTTGAAAGCATGTAAAAAAAAAAAAAATGTAGATCTACATTCAGAGCCCCCCGCACGTGGACATAGATCTACGTTTGGACAGTTTAAGGGTTAATAATTATTAAAACAATACTCTTTAATAATAATAATGCAAACAACAATAAATGACAATGTGGAATTTTATTCCACTAGTCTCATAATAATAATAATAATAATTACCCAACAAAAGGCTGCAGTTAGAATGATAACAAATTCTCACTACAGGCAGCACACTCCACCAATATTCAATACACTCAACCTACTCACCATACAAAACATCCATACTTATTACTGCACCTATTACATACATAGAACACTCAACTCTGATATTAACCCTCCCCTCAAACATCTCCTTGCCAACCTCAACAGAACACATGACCATAACACAAGGCACAGATCACTCTTTGATATTCCTCGTGTCCATCTCACGCTATGCAAAAACTCAATGCACATAAAAGGCCCTAAAATCTGGAATTCATTACCTGTAAATATAAAAGAAACACTACCTGTTTATAAATTCAAGTCTCTTCTCAAAGATCACTTACTCACCCAAAACCAAATAAATACTGAATAACTGAACCTTATAAATTGTATATCTTAAATGTTTCTCACAATTATATCATATAAATGTTAAACCTAAAACCCAATCTAACTTTATTATTTTTTAAATACACTACCTAACAGAATACTCCATTCTACTGAATTTACAACAATGCATGCAACCATATGACCTGTCTTTGTAATACTCACTTGTGCATTATAGTAATCAGTTTACATTAATGTTTTTCACTGATTTCATCATTGCTTAGTTAATCTTAAGTTAATTTTAAGCCAGCCCGTAATGCTATGCATAGTATAAGTGGCTTTGGCATGCTGCTCTTTATATTTTTTTGTACCTCTGTAAGTGTGCTCAAATTATAAATAAATAAATAAATAAATAAATAAATAAATAATAATAATAATAATAATAATAATAATAGTAATAATTTTCGTTTCTAGCAGTACATGTACAAGGTATACATGTACAAGGTATACAGACCATAGTTGACATCAATGACATACTACTATATACAAAGTACCTTGTTATGCTGAGCATTTCCTGCAAATTATGTCAGTTTTGTCCCAGGATGTGACCCACACCAGTCCACTAACACCCAGGATGTGACCCACACCAGTCCACTAACACCCAGGATGTGACCCACACTAGTCCACTAACACCCAGGATGTGACCCACACCAGTCCACTAACACCCAGGATGTGACCCACACCAGTCCACTAACACCCAGGATGTGACCCACACCAGTCCACTAACATCCAGGATGTGACCCACACCAGTCCACTAACATCCAGGATGTGACCCACACCAGTCCACTAACACCCAGGATGTGATCTACACCAGTCCACTAACACCCAGGATGTAATCTACACCAGTCCACTAACACCCATGATGTGACCCACACCAGACCACTAATACCCAGGATGTGACCCACACCAGTCCACTAACATCCAGGATGTGATCTACACCAGTCCACTAACACCCAGGATGTGACCCACACCAGTCCACTAACACCCAGGATGTGATCTACACCAGTCCACTAACACCCAGGATGTGATCCACACCAGTCCACTAACACCCAGGATGTGACCCACACCAGACCACTAATACCCAGAATGTGACCCACACCAGTCCACTAACACCCAGGATGTGACCCACACCAGTCCACTAACACCCAGGATGTGACCTACACCAATCCACTAACACCCAGGAATCGAACCTGGACCCTCACCGTGTACAGCAAGAGTTTTTACCACCAGGCCAAGGGGCACCTTATACTTATTACCAGTGATATGTTCAACTACTCGATAAGGACCAACAAACTTTTGATCAAGCTTTGGCATTGCAATGTTGTGGCCCATTTTAGGAAAGTCTTAAAGGAACGGGAGGTACAGAGCTCTATGGACAGATTTGTTGTGCGACAGAGGTCCAGTGACTCAAGTTGGTCCTAGTGGCATTAAAAGAAGAAGGGAAGTAACCCCGGAAAAGGACTTGATACCTCAAGTCCTAATGGAAGGGGATTCCCCTTCTAAACAATAACAACTTACACACTCTCCCCTCCTCCCATCCCATCAATCATCACCAGATCTTCAATAAAGGTAAGTGTCATGTATTCTATTCTTGGTAGAGTAGTATTTGTGCACGTCTTCTTCAGTTTGTGTGTATTAACCCTTAAATGGTCCAAACATATATATATGTTTTTTCAACATCTGAAAGTATTTAAAAAAATGTTGATCTTTTTTGTTTTACATGTGAAAACGTGTAAAAAAACTTTTATCTACATTTTTTTTTGTTATATTTGAAAATATGTAAAAAAAAGTAGATCTACTTTTGTAGCTACGAATTTGAACATCGATCTGTTTGGACTGTTTAAGGGTTAAAATTAATATTTCATGTGGTAAAAAATTTTTTTTTTTTCATACTTTGGGGTGTCAGGAACGGATTAATTTGATTTCCGTTATTTCTTATGGGGAAAATTAATTCGGCTAACAATAATTTCGGCTTATGATGAGCTCTCAGGAACGGATTAATATTGTAAGGCGGGGGTCCACTGTATAAGCAAATAATAATTACTGCTATCGCAGTCTTAAGTTAAAGTTTACTGGGAATATTCTGCATAACCATGGACATTCTGCATGCACAACCCAATGTCATTCATCTCTGTACATTGTATCATGAGCAAATCTTTGATTTTAACCTATGCCAGATTCACAGCCAAGTGTTGTGAAGGTAACTTGTGGTATGAGCAATATCCACAAGGATCTGGATAATATTCACACATATAGAACACCTTATCTCCTTAACCTATCCCAGCCCATCATAAATATGTAAAAACTATATGTGCATTTGCTCAACATCATGAACTTGGTTAAAACATTATAATCAATATACAGTAAAGCCCCAAGTCACTCTGTCTGACTTTTTTGTGTTATCCCAGGTTCTCTACACATATGCTGCTATGTATGATAATTCTATGTAACTGTATTTGTGTATACCTGAATAAACTTACTTACTTACTCGAACTGCTCCCAACTTAACCATGTAAGTGTATTATTGTAATATAATTTACGTTATTCCTTATGGGAACATATTCATTTGGTATCAGCACTTGAACAGCCTTCTGGAGCGAAGAAAGTTCGAAACCCCGGGTTCCGCTGTATACAACTTACTCTCAACATCTGTAATCTTTTCAAATGTTAATCATTCCATTGTGTCCACCTCAGGTTTATAATCAAAACTGTAATTCTTCTCTACCAAACATATTAAAGTCATATAACATGAACTAACAGAATATTCAATTTTCTTCCTTTCACGGTAACTCGTCTATGACCATATGTACAATTATTACACTGTTATTTCCTTATTAATCTTAAGTTCGGCCGAAATGCTCTGCATATAAAGGGACTTTTGGCATGTACAATGGTACCTTGGGATGCGAACACCTCAAAACTCGAACAGTTATGTAAGTGTATTTATGTAAGTGCTCTTGTAAGAGAATTTTGGGGAGTCTTAACGGATTAATCCAATTTACATTATTCCTTATGGGAACAAATTCGTTCGATATCGGCACTCGAACAGCCTTCTGGAACAAATTAAGTTCGTATCCTGAGGTACGACTGTACACCCAATCGTTATACAGTGGAACCTCAAAAATCGAACTGCTCCCAACTCAACCAATTATGTAAGTGTATTTTTGTAAGTGCTTTTATAAGTGTATTTTTGAGGGTCTGAAATGGACTAATCTAATTTACATTATTCCTGATGGGAATAAATTCGTTCGGAAGCGACACTTGAACAGCCTTCTGGACCGAAGAAAGTTCTATATTTGAGGTTCCACTGTACTCCTTTGTACAAACATGTATCATGCTGAGATAAAATTATTACTATGGCAGCAGCGTCGGCAGCAGTAATCTGACTTGTGTTATCCTGGC